ATCTTTTCACAGCGTACAAGTTGGGTTTCTGAAATTTATGGCATTGATAGCGCTCGGCCTAAGATTTGTTGTAATTCATTTCGCTTTAATTGTGCTGCTGTTTGTGGAGACTCCGGCATTTGTGCCCTAATCAAACATTAGCAATAATTGAATCCAATAGGTATTTTATCATATGTTGCGGTGGATGTGGAGAGCAGAATGACAAAAGCCTGTTGAACAGATGCAATAGTCTTCCTGTCAGATACAGTCAGCTGACGAATGGCGCTTTACTTTCCATTTAACATAGCACGCCAGAGGCAAAACTTAATCCATGCATGACACATCTAAGCAGAAGTCAAATGAGAAATGTTTTTGAATATCTTAACACAGAGAATGTGAATTGAATTGCATACATGAATTTCAAGTTGGATTTGACCCTGATCTGTTGGATGATGTTGCTGATGATACAACAGCATGACTGCTATTCTACTACGAGTAATAATTATAATCATTCACAGCTAGTGGTCCTTGTCACAGGAGTGGGGCACAATGGAAATAATAATTAGGACTTCTCATTTCAGATGCAATGCAGTAAGAGAGTATGAAGTGTGTATTGTGGCTCTCTGACTTCTAGGATATACAGCTGTGTGTATACTTGCTTGTTTCCCTGTGTTTGTACGCCCCAGTAAGAATTTCTGCTGGCTCTGGGTTCTTCAGCTTTGTGACTCCTGTTATTTCTCACATACACACACACACGTATGCAAATTTGTTTCGCATTTTGACAGTGACCCAGTCTTTGCTGTCATAAGGAAGTAGCTAATTGTAGCATAAAGAGACATGAAGGGCCAGGATGCCTGCATCACATTTTTTTCTGGGTCTCTCCCCTGACAGCAACGCTCAGTGACGTACTGAAGCTTTGTCATGCGCAAATAGACATTTTTCAACCGGCTATCTCTCAGTGCTCTTCTAACCCATTTCCCCAAGTCATCATTCAGCGACACTGTCAGAATACAGTCCACATATATCACAGTTGAGCCAGTAAAATGCTTTCCAGTAGGAGTCAAATATGCACCTCAGCGTAGCCGCTGCTGATAAAAGAGCTAATTCATCATTTAGTCACACAAAGCCTCACAGATTCTTTGTTATATCTTGTATACTATTGGAGTTCATGAGATCTGGATTTGCTGAATAGTTTCCAGACATTCCGTACAATGACAATTTTGGTAGTTAGAGAATTTAACTTTGTTTTTGTATGAAGTACAACATTTATTATTCAATTTATGTATGTGATATTTCTTATTTTTAATTCAAATAATCGCAGGTTTTTGCAACAAAAAGGCAACGAAAAAGGAAAGTGATGTTCTATAATACCATAACATTTTAGGTATCACAACTATTATGATTCAGGCTCTGGTATTTAACCTTTTTGACCTTTTTGTTTTAACTTTTTGAGTGCTGACTCACCTGTCAAGTAGTGAAGGCTAGCACTGAATGCTCGGTCAATTAGAATCATACTTTAGCTCATTTTAAATTTTGTTTCATTAAAGTAAAGTTCTTGTTTGGTTGCTTTGTGTTAAGACTAGGGCTGACTCGATTAGTCAATAAATTGATTGGTCAATCAACAGAGAAAATCTCTTTTTTTCAAGCAAAATTACCAAACATTGAACGAATAACAAGTTTAGCACCTTTATAGTGATTTATCTTCCGATCTTAATGTCTTATTGTATAGTAAACAGAGTATCTTTTAGTAATAGTTAAAAAGGCATAAATAAGGTTTTGAATATGCAGCAGAAAGTACATGTTTTGCCCCTCATCCATATTGTCCAGTAATCTTTCTTTCTGTTACTGATAAAGCGATGTTTCTGTCACTATGGGCTAAATACTTTGGGTTCATCACAACACTAGATATTTTCCTTTTATATTCAAATAGCGTTGTGTATAACCTGCTCCTTTGAGATCTGGCTCTTAGCTGTGCATATATATGCTCGTGTATGAGGGCTCCTTTTTGCTTTGCCTTTTGTGTGCACTATTTGGGGATTTGCTTATATGGTTTATTTATGCAGGTAATTCCATTGAGAGAAACCCTTTGTCAGGGGAGAGCTGGTGTACAGTCTGCATGCATACTTTATAGCCAAATTATCTAATAGGTTTAAAGTCACTATCAAAGATGTATGCTGCTGCAGTGTTTTGGCTCCAGTGATGAGGCCTCTGGAGAGGTGGGGAGAGGTATCTATGTGCATAGTGTACGTGTTACAGTGTGTGTAAATTATCTGTTTTAGGGGCAGCCAGTGCTTACAAAATCCCTCTGTGCAGACTATTAATCCTGAAGTCTACCTGGACTTAGTAACCTGACAGAAAATTAACAATAACAAACACCCGTCTGTCTCTCTCTCTATTACTCTTACTCTTACTGCCTACAACTACTGAGGCTCCGCAGTGAATGCAGTGACAGCCTGCCAAGCTGTTGAAAATATGAATGTGTACGTACGCATGTGCACATGCTTATTTGGCCCCATGAGCTTTTATGTGGGCACGGAAGTTTGTTTTTGTGTATGCGCGAGTCAGTCTGCATTCGTACTATAATAAAATTATATTTTTTTTTCATCTTACTCTGTACAAAAAATGATAACGAGCGAATGCTGTTATTTGGATAACTCCTCCTTCGTTGAGTGCCTACGAGGAACACACATTCAGAGGACAAAGGCTCTATTGTCGGGAGAAAAGTAAAACATTTTGTAACAATTTACACTTTGACTCCATCTCTGGGGGCTTTAGGAAATGTTAATTTAAGTTCCCATTATGAAATGTATTTAAATCAGACTAAGAATTAATTCCATTATTCTTGGAGGCAGCTGGGGCTCCTGTATCCGTCGAGACGGTTTGCTGCTCCCTCCTGAGACCTGTGGGTTTTCCCATCACTTTTAAAATCAATTACCTTTCTACCTCCCTCGCCTCTCCAACTCTCTCTAAGTACTCTCCTCATATTCTTCATTAGAAAACCCACCACTTCACCTATAGCTCACTATGAACACCTCAACCAGAACCCTGTGTATTTTTAAGTGTTCGTGGCACATTTGAGTGCCTCTCGCTCTGATTTATTAATATGTCTTATGTATAAGTATTGGCCTGCACAGATTCTCAGTCGGCTTTTTTGCAGACAGTGTTGCTGCCTAGATATAAATAGGAATGCAATCTGTGGCTGGGTAAGACCTGTTAGCCCTATGTGACACTAAAGCCACAACAAAGACACTGCTGTACTGCTGCTGAGGAGCGGCTGCAGCCCTTGGGAGAGATCATGTTATTCTCCCTTGTGCGCCATCTCACAAACATCTCACCGCACTAACTGAGGGGAATAAGCATGGATGGGCTTGACGGCTGCTTCCTATTTTAGTCATCGGCAGGTAGGCGGATGAGTTGAACTGCGGAGGATCTCTGTGCAGCGAAGTCTTCGTCTAATTAGTTTGTCTAATTATGTCTTTGTGCTGGAAATTTCTCAAATTAGTGGTATCGTGCAGAATGTGAGCATGCTCATTATGGTTGTCATGAGAATTGTTGCGGTGGTTGGAGAAGAGAGGAGAAAGGGAGAGGGAGAGAAGGAGTGTCACTGGAACCAAAAGCTCTCCTCGGTCCAAGTCCCTTTATCAAACACAAGTATCTTGTAATGGGAGATGTAGCGCCCAGCTTCGTCCCAGGAATTCACAGGGAAAATGTTACTTTTGCCCGTGTAACACTCTACACCCCCCCTCCCTTCCTTCCTGTGCAGGGGTGCACCTATTTGTGGCAGACCACAAAAAGGTCCCCTTTGATTTTCCCTCCTCGTGCGTCAGCTGCAAGAGTGTCACAGCATCAGGGATGTAAGTATCTCACATGGAGACACTTTTTGATTTTCCCTCCTTGTGAGGTGCCACAGCCTCAGGGATGAAGACCCCACTCCTCCTCCTCCTCCTGCTCCTCGTCATTGCCCTCACCCACGACTCTGAGTCTCTTCCCCTGGCCACCAAGTAAGGACAAGCCTCCTGGATCGCGTGCCAGTGACCATTCCTGCTTTCCACGGCCTCTCCTCTTTCTTTCCCTTCTTCCTCTTCATTGCCTCCCTGCCATCCCTCTTTCTTTCTCTCTCATTCCCTCTATCCCTCTCACCCTCTCCTTCCCCCACTCCTGGGCCTACAGTAATTGGTATTCCGAGTGGCAGCTGGGATCCATACAAACACAGCAGACAGGGGGAGAGAGAGAGAGAGAGAGAGAACGTAGGCAGTGTGTGTGTGTGAGTGTGTGTGAGAGATAGAGAGAGAGAGACATGGAGGCAGAGAGAAAGAGAAAGCCAGCAAGTCAATACGCTGGTTCATTAGAGCACTGAGTCACAGTGGCCGCTGCCTCGTTTGTTTGTGTTTGTCCAATACTCTGTCTTAAGCAGAGCCCACCGCCTCTGTCCGCTCACACTGGCAAACCTGACAGCAACACACCCCAGGCTGCCTGGCCGCCTGTGATATGGGCTTTTCTGTGCCTGTGAGTATTTGGACATACCGGCTTATGAAATAATTACCAAATCAATAGCTCAGAATTAAGCAAAGTGGGCCCTTTTCTCATGAGTCTCCCCAACGAAAGTCCAAGTTCATGCCTAGAACTGGGACAGTACGTACGGAAATTGGCACCGGTTTATCTGTATGTTATTCCATAATCATGCTCTAATTTAGTTAAATTTTCCATGACTAATTATATGTCAGCAATATGTGATATTTTTGACTGGATTAACCGAGGTGTTGATGAGACACGCAGTGACAAAAAATAGCAGGTCTGATTATGGCGGTGGATGTAAAGAAGACAGGCCAGTTTTCTGAAACGGAATTTCGAGGGAAAAAAAGAGGGCGGCTCTATTAGGCAGCAAAAATAGGTTCCTGCAGTTATTGAAAATATAAAAGTGGATGTTCCAAAAAAACAAGAGGGAGGAGTGTTCTCCGGTCACAGCGAGCTAAGAGCAGACCACTTGTCGGGATATTGAAAGAGAGAGAGAGAGAGGCAGGTTAAGAGAAAGGGCTGAAATGACCTGTTCCTCTCTTCAAGGCCTGTTTATTTTGGAGGAAATAGTTATATGACGGTTGCTGTGTGGCTGTCTGGCTGGGGCTGCTGGCTCCCAGGGCCCTCATGGTGCACAGTGACCTCTCATTACCACTGCTTGAGGGAGCGTGAAACGGAGGAGATCACTCCAAAGGGCAGCTGTGTAGATGCGCCTAACCTTTTAAACCATCGGAATACGTCAACCATACAAATAACTCATTAACCTTATCCATTTAAATGAAAAGCTCCTACTTTTATCCCACACCCCCTTCCTCTCTCCAGTATTAGATTTGTTTAATTGGCCATTGGACATGATGAAAATGGCAAGTCCCTTTGCAATGTGGTGTGGTCAAGCCAAGCCATACACCAGGGCAGTGGGGATTGGCCCCCTTTGGCCCTGACACTTAACAAAGCTGGTTTAAGATTTGGGGGAGAGGGAAACGAGAAATTGAGGGTTAGGGGAAGTGATAGTACGTTAGCATGTGTGTGAGTCTTTTGAATGTTGTTTAGGAAGCGGCCCCTGGCTCTGTCCAGCAGCACAGGAGGGCATTGATTGGAGGAGCTCAATAGCTTGGGCCTTTTAATCACCTCGCTCAGAGGCTGCATTGTCCCACAGGCCTGGAGAATAAGCGCTGCTAATACCCCTGTGCATATGCACACAGCCACTGGCTCCCAGGATTCTGCAACCCCTCACAGACCCACACAGCCACTAATCAATAGGCCTGATTACCAACAGGGAGGCAGAGTGCGCTTTGTTCTCATTTGTCCTCAGAAAAGCTTGTCTCCCCCTCCCCTTTCTGAACGTCTTGCCAACTTCCCTTTCGTTTAGACACAATATGGTATCGTTTAAAGACCACAGCCGCGATGTTTCTGTTATTCTGATGAGGAATTCGACCTACTGCACCTACAGTTGGATCCGATGGTGTCAAGACTAAATGCTTGTTCTCTGAGTCTAGAATAATGTGCTGGTCTGACCCAGTTGTAAAGAAAACATTTAGACTTACACATCAGCTGTCTAAAAATGGCATTTCTCTCACTCTCACTCTCTGCTTTGCACTCTGTCTCCATCTCTTCTCTCTCTCTCCCTCCCTCAATCTGTCTCTTTGCTTTCTTGGCTGTCATATCTCTTTATACTGTTTAGAAATGCTGTACATTGTGTTAAAGGGTTGTGACTGATAGCCTGCCAATTTCAGCTGTGGCACATCAGAGAGGCTACCCCCCCTGCCCCCTCCCCTACTGAACACAGAGAGACACACATTAAAGCCGTGACAGTGTGCTCCCTTTACTGTTTAAGTGTTTCACAGAAAAGCTGGGTTTTTATTTATTATGGGTAAAGGCCACTAAAAAACACTGTGGCCTTTACCAAACTGCAACATGCAAGAGTGTCTCAATGCAAGAAACACAGAAACTCCCTCCTGGCATGCTCGTTTGTGTGTTCTAGATGTGCAGCAGCTTCACACGAGCCATAGACAAGAATTATTGTTCTCTCTCATCAGAGATTCTGGGACCATTTATATTTCCATCTGCACAGCCTATCAATAAGCCTCTAAGCCGGGTTTCAAAAACTAATAACATCAATGACTTTAAAAGGGAAAACAAATATCAAAGGAAGGCGGCGTATTAGCACCCCGAGATGGCGGGTGAATATTGAGATTTGAGTTTGTAGACGAATGGAAGGGCAGAGTAGGGCTGTTGTTTTGTCCCATGCCCTCCTTATTATTACCCTCCATCACACTGTACACACACTTTTTCTCTGACTGACACCCTTCTCTGCATTTTTCTGTCATGTCTCGCGGCCCTTCTTCCCTCTGCCCTCCCATTCCCATCCCCTCTTTCTCTCTCTTTTTCCTTTCTTCTCCTTCTGTCCTCTACTACCCCCCTCTTCCCACCCCACCTGCCCCTGTCCTTTGGTTTTGAAGCCAAGTAAAGGACTCGCCTTCTGAAGCAATGGGGAAATAATTTGTGGCTCGGAGAACAAAGGGAAATCTTTACTGTGAGAGTAATGGAATGGGTTTTGTGATGCGGATGAAAACTGTCTTCATTTTTCTCTCGTTTTGAAAAACAAAGTACTGATAAAAGGTTGTGATTTAAAATGGAGAAGAATATGGGTATAATGTGTGATGGATAAAATACATCCCTTTCTCAGGATCATTATTATTAGATGTAAAGAAGTAACTTAAAAAGAAATATATTCTACAAAAAAATCACTAGTGTGCATTAACTATTTATCAGCTGCTTATTATTTATAACTCTATTGTGTCTTTGTCATTGTTATTGTATTTCAGTGGGGTTACTAGTGTTGTAGAAGTTGGCAAACTGCAGCTACTGCAATTTCAGGGCTAACATAGAGTTTTAAAAAGCGCCATGTGCAATCCATTATGGTCACGTATTGACTGGAAATTCCTCAAAGCCCTCGACAGACCTCCATGCTCACTTATTGAGCTGTTATCAATGAGCTACTTTTGTCTTGGCTCAAGAGACCATGGACATATTAGCGGGACATTTATTGTGCTAGAAAATAAGGAATTGGGAAGCCAAAGACGCAGCTGATATTTCCACTGAAGACTTACTTGTTAGTCTCCTCAACAAATATTTTATAAATAATATCACTTGATGTCTCATGTACTTAAACTGTGTAGATTTCTTGTGGCTCCTTATCTCAGGACGTTATTTTAATTTTTCACCAAATCTGCATGATGGAGCCTTCGACAGCTTCAGCCACTACGCTTGTTTTTGGAAAATGAAATGAGAAAACTCAAAAAACGAAGCTCCATCTCTTGACAATAAGAACATTTTTTTACTATATAAATGTCTCTGCCTTTTACATGAATGGATAAATCCGTTAGTGACCCTTCTGTATTCCAGATTTTTAAAGTAACCTGAAAGTGCGTCATTAAATCATCAAAAATATTTGAAAAATAACACAATTATTTTTAAAGAAAGTGAAGTAGCACGCTCAAGTAGGATTTAATGACCTTTTTTAGTTTATTGCTAGTTGGCTGTAATAATGCTGCAGATCTGCTGGACTTTCTAGTGATAATGGCTGGGTTGTTCGTCAATGAAGAGAAAGAAAAGAAGTGTTTCTTCGCACTTAGGAACAACTGAACTGACAAGTGACTGATGAAAGTGGTTTCTTTGCCTCAGAACCTTACACAGGACACAGACGAATAGCTGAACTGATTTTAGACATTATTTATGTTGTGAATTGTTAACTGTATTGTAAGCTTATTGTCTTACCTTTTAAATGGTGTAGTGTTAACGTTTTGTTTGGGCTGGACTGTTACAACTCCATATCTTTGACGTCCTTACTCAAACATTCAGAATATGCCCCAGCCATTTAATAAAAATAATGAAGACAAATAAATCAGAAAAGCCACTGATTTCTGGCCATGAGGGGACAGGAAAATATCAAACACAAATTATCACATGCAGGGAGAAGGGTCCAACTGCAGTCCTCCCTCCTGAAGCTGCTACTTCTGTGAGCCAATGGGATTTGAGCATAGTTCCGTATAGTAGACAACTTTAACTTATCTCACCTTAGAAGTTCACTTCAAAATCTGTAAGAAATAAGCAAGGCCTAATTTAAAAGTTTGTTCCGACTTTTTTAAGCCAAGGGCACGTCTGCACTGCAGGTGTTTCGGTTTAACGAGTGACCACGTTAACTGGTGACAAAATGCGTCTTTGTTTACTCGCATTGACAGCAGCTGTTGAAAACACAAACCAGAGCTCCTTAATTTAATGTTCAGTATATATTTGTCTGGTCTTTTTTGTCCTAAGTAAATTAAACTGTTGCCAACAAGAATCATTAAACGTTTTTGAAGTTGCTTTTTATATGGGGGAAAAAAATATTTTCTGTTATGTTCATGTTTTCAACAACTGCCATTATTATGAGCAAGCATTTGGCCAAAAGTCACCAGTAATATATTTTATATCTGTGAACTATAAGCCCTGGCATTTGATCTCTGAAAGAAAATACAATAAACCCTGAAAGGGACCTGAAAAGAGAGGTTGGAGGTGCTGCAACTGGACCCTTTTGCGTCTAGCAGACATTGGAGCAACTTTAGCATTCATTTGGAGTCATGTTTCTGTCCACCTGACCTGTAAGTCTAATATTCAGCCTCCTTTTAGGTGTTATTTTGTCTCCATCAGGTCCAGAGAAAAATGGCCTTAGCTTGCTAGATGCTTGACTTTGTTCACCTGCTAGTTGCGATGTTTAGTGCTGGGCAGACACTGAATCATACATTGGTTTTATCAGAGCTTTTTAACTTGAATAATCTGCCCACTAGGGTTGATGAGAACAACCAGTGAAACCATTGTGTGAATGGTAAAACCAAAACAGTGAACTAAGTGTCAGTAGAGGCTAAAAAGGTGACTTGAGCTGCAGAGTTTGGTAATAATTCTCACGATTAAAGCGCCAGTAGTGAGACAGTGGTTCCAGTCATTGTTTATTTAAAAAAATAATGATTAATGCAGGTTTGAAGAAAAAAACTGTCTGCTAGTTCAACTTGCAGTGACAAGTTGGAGAGTCATTAGCATTTGACCATGATTGATGTCCAAACCACCAAAGACACTGAATTATTCTCTTGATTTCCCATATCTTGATTTAGATACAGCTTTGTGTTGGTTGGTGTATATTTAAACTTTGTAGAGATCCAGTTTTGCAGTGTTTATGCTAAGCTAACTAGCCTATGGCACCTGGCATAGATATTTTGGCAAAATACCCAAATAGTTATAATGATAATGCAAACTTAATAGCAGAAAATTAAATCAGACCCACACAAATTTCAACAGTCATAGTGAGTGAGTAAAGTTATTAATAGTATTCACCAAACCAATATAACCCCCACAGATAAGTCTTATTGTTTCGCTTGAGTTACTTTAAGTTATGAAGCATTAAAAATCTAACTTATTGAACCTCTACGTGAAATGTGAATCAGACAAACTTGGGATGATTTGTGCAGCTTTCAGGGAGGGAGACACTCCTTTCGCTCCTTGACACTGACTTTCACAAAGTTGATAGAGGCCAAGTATGAACCTATCCTGACATCACACATTGGTTTGTGGAGTAGCATTTTGAAACCAATCTTGACAAACAATGTCATCTTGCCTGGTCA